AGGGGCAGGCGGCTCAGTGCGTCGGCGTGGCCCATCGCCTTTCCGGGCCGATGGACGAGGTCGTACGCATACCCCGCCAGGAAGATGGACCAGCGTAGCACCCTGGGCGAGGTTATCTGCGGTGTCTGCCGGTCGGGTGCGAGGAGGCCCAGCAGGGGCCGTACAAGTAGTGGTGAAATTTTTTCACCCCTGCCACGATTGCCAACGCCTCCTTGTCGATCTGCGCGTAGTTGCGCTCGGCCGACGACAGTGTCCGCGAGTAGTAGGCCACCGGGACCTCGCGACCATCCGGTAGTCTGTGCCCCAGGACCGCCCCGACCCCATAGGGGGAAGCGTCGCACGCCAGTACCACGGGAAGGGCCTCGTCAAAATGGGCGAGGACCGCATTAGAGACCAGGAGGTCCTTTATTGTTTGGAAAGCTGCGTCGTGTGGTGGCCCCCAGGCCCATTGCGCCGACTTGTCGAGGAGGCGGTGGAGCGGCTCCGCGACGGCCGCCTTCAGGGGCAAAAAGGAGTGGTAGAAGTTCACCAGGCCTAGGAACGCCTGTAGCTCCGTTTTGGACTTCGGGGCCGGGGCGTGTGTGATGGCTTCTACCTTGTCCTGGGAGGGGTGCAGGCCGGCGGCGTCCACCGCGAAGCCCAGAAACTCCACCCGCGGCACCCCCAGTAGGCACTTCTCCCGTTTCACCTTGAGGCCCGCCGCGTCGAAGCGTTGTAAAACGGCCCTCAGACGGTCTGCGAAGGACGAGGGGTCTGGCGCGGCGATCAGCACGTCGTCTAGAAACGGCTGAACTCCGGGGATGCCTTTAAGGAGGGAATCCATAAAAGATTGAAAGATCCCCGGCGCGACTGAGACCCCGAACTGGAGGCGGTGCACCTTGAAGGCCCCTTTGTGGGTCGCAATGGTCTGTGCCTCGGCCGTGGCGGCGTCCACCGGTAGCTGCTGGTACGCCTGGGCCAAGTCCAGTTTGCCGAACACCCGAGCCCCTGCCAGGGCTGCCAGCACTTGGCTTACTACCGGCACCGGGTACGCGTGGGGCTGCAGGGCTTTGTTTATGGTGCATTTATAGTCCGCGCAGATGCGGACGTCCCCGTTCGGCTTGAGTGGTGTGACAATGGGGGTCTCCCACCGGGCCGACGCCACCGGTTCTAGCACGCCTTGCTCAACTAGGCGATCGAGCTCGGCCTCCACCTTCGGCCTCATGGAGATCGGGGGCAGCCGGGCCCTGATGCGGATGGGGCGTATCGCGGGGTCTAGGTCCAGGGAAATGGCAGGGCCCGTGTACCGCCCCAGGGTCCCATCGAAGATGCGGGGAAATTCTGCGCACACCGCCCCGAAATCCTGCGCTCCAACCTGGTTGATGCCCGTAACGGAGAGCCCCAGGGCCTTGAACCAGGCCAGTCCCAACAAGCTGGAGAGGGGCCGGTCCACAACCAGTAGGTCCAGTTGGCCCTTGAAACCCTGAAACTGGACCCGGAACTTGCCCCAGCCCACCACCGCCACGGGGTTTTTGTTAAAGTCCCGTAACCGGAAACCCCGTGACTTCTGTAGTGGTGGCCCCCCCCGAGGACACAGTGCACGGAGCGTGTCCGCGGATATTATGGAGTAGGTCGACCCGGTGTCGATCTCCATGGTGCAGGGGGCTCCCTCTATGAGGACCGTCACATGCATTTTATTTGGGCCGTCGGGGGGCAGGTTACAGACCTGGTGCTGTGGAAAGTGGGACGACACGGTGTGGAGCTCCAGGGGCAGTTCCGCGGTGGTCTGGTGGGTGGCCGATCTCGGTCGTTGTCCCTTGGACCGGCAGACCTTGGCGATGTGTCCTGCCTTGTTGCAGGAACGGCAGACCGCATTCCGGAAACGGCACGACCTGCGTTCGTGATCCTCCCCGCAGCTGGCGCACTGACTTGGAGACGGGGCCTTGGAGGTCCTGGAGGATACGTGTTTTGATCGCTGCTGAGTCCGCTGTCGGAGTTGTAGGACTTCCTCTTGGTCCGAGACGTCGGAGCCGCTGCTCACTTGGGTACGGTGGACCGCCTTGGCGCGGCGGTCTTGTCGCGCTTGTTCGTATGCTGAGGCCTCCCGGATGGCCTTGTCCAGGCTCAGATCGTTCTGGCTCACCAGTTTCCTCTGCAGCTTCGGCTCCCGGAGTCCGACGAGGAACTGGTTCAGGAGGGTATCGTCGAGGCTGGGGAAGGAGCACCGGGTCGCCAGGCTCCGCAGCGCCGCCAGAAAATCGGAGGTGGTTTCGCCGGAGGCCTGAACTCTTGCGAAGAAGTCCAACCGCTCCACGTACTTCGTGGGTTTGGGAGCCAGGTGGTCGGTCAGGGCCTGGACTAAGGAGCTGTATGACTCGTCCTTCGTTAGTTTGGGCGAGATTAAGTCCTTGAGGAGCCGATGGGTCTGGATTCCGCAGTGGCTCAGCAGGTAAGCCTTCTTCATCGCGTCATCCACCACCTTGTGGATGGTGAAGCGGCTCTCCAGCGTGTCCAGCCAGGTGTCCCACAGCGAGGGCTGGGAGAGATCGAAAGCGGGCAGGCTTTCTGTTGCGGTCGCGGTCGCCATTGTACTGTCGCCACGTGGTGGGGTGGCCTCTGGAACGGCGATGGCGTCGGGAGCGTTGTGGAGGCCGCTGCTGCTC